AAAAAGGGTGCTGCACCGAAAACCCAAATGGGTGGTGAATTCACCGAAAACCCAAAATCTAAAATGGGTGGTGAATTCACCGAAAATCCCAAAATGGGTTTTGATCACAGCCAAATGGGCGATCAGGGCCCGGGCCAATCACCGCGGGGTTGGTGATGCCGATGAGCAGGGAGTGGCCGTCCTGTCACGTCACCGCCGAGGCAAGGCTACGCCGGTGCGATGTTCGCTGGAGTTGTCCAGCCGCTTTCAAAGCCGCAGATTTCGCGGCAGTTCACAAAAAAGGCCAACCCGCGGCTTGTTTGAACGAAAGGGACAAGACATATAGAAGCGCCTTGCTTGATTGAACGAAAGGGACAAAACATATTGGAAGCGCGTTGCTTGTTTGAACAAAAGGGACAAAACATATTCGAAGCACGTTGCTTGTCTGGACGAAAGGGACAAAACATATTGGAAGCACGCTGCTTGTTTGAACGAAAGGGACAAAACATATTGGAAGCGCGCTGTTTGTTTCAACGAAAGGGACAAAACGTATTGGAAGCGCGTTGCTTGTTTGAAGGAAAGGGACAAAACATATTGGAAGCACGTTGTTTGACTGAACGAAAGGGACAAAACATATTGGAAGCACGTTGCTTGTTTGAACCAAAGGGACAAAACATAAGGGACAAAACATATTGAAAGCGCGTTGTTTGTTTGAACGAAAGGGACAAAACATATTGGAAGCACGTTGCTTGTTTGAACCAAAGGGACAAAACATATTGGAAGCGCGTTGTTTGTTTGAACGAAAGGGACAAAACATATTGGAAGCGCGTTGTTTGTTTGAACGAAAGGGACAAAACATATTGAAAGCACGCTGCTTGTTTGAACCAAAGGGACAAAACATAAGGGACAAAACATATTGGAAGCATTTTGTTTGTTTGAACGAAAGGGACAAAACAAATTGGAAGCACGTTGCTCCACTCACTTCCATCGGACGACCGCCCCCCTCGTGAGCACGGCGAATGGGAAGCACGCTGCTTGTACTTGTTCAAAAATAAAAGCTGTGCTGCGAGGCACCAAAGCTGACGTTGAGGTGGGCGAATTGCTCATTTTGTGTGAACGCGAACAGCGGTCGGACAACAAAAGAGGGTGGGGATGGGCACAAAACAAAGCCTGAACATGTCCATTGAAGTACCAGACAAGCATTCAGCAAGTCATTTACTGGCTTGCTGCAGCACTTGCGCTGCAAAGAACGACAAAATCCTGTGAATGACAATGCGGGTAAACATATTTTGGTGCCGGAACCTTCAACCGACTAATACGCGAATGCGGGGATCACAAACATAGGAGTGAACTGCCCTTTTGGAAGACCAAGGAACTTTTTTTTCAAATGCTGCACGCATCTGTCCCTCTCATGAGAAAACGCTATGCAATGCCGTCCTAGCCTTGACTTAAAACAACAACAGGTCTTTTGATGGCTCCACCATTCATCTCAACTGACAGAAGATCTTATGACCGCATGTACTAGACCCCGTCTTTGGCTACTTCCCTGATTGACATGCAACACAAAGCGTAAAAAGGAAGCTTTCGGAAAATGATCTTCCCGGCCCCAATATTTCGCCATGGTCACTCCCCAAGTGGTGGGTCAAAGGGAAGCAACCCCAACTTCTGACTTTGAGAGCCCCAGTCTTCGGGTCCGAGCGAAAGGTCAGCTCCGCGCTCCTGGTGCTGCAGCCCCTCGCCGTTCAGCGTGGTGCGCCCGGCCGTGGCGCCCAGCAAGAAGCCCCGGGCGCGAGCATCCGCCGCCTGAAAACGAAAGCGAGCCGAAGCCGAACCAAGCGGCACCCGAAGTGAACTAACCGGAGGAATCCGGCAATCCGACTTTCAAGTGGCAGGGCCATAAGACAGGGCCAGGCCACTTCGATGTGCACTGCTACTGTTTGGTGGGACACTTGGGTCCAGTGGGCATGAGGGCTTCACCAATCTCGTTGAAGAACTACAAAACCGACTACAACACACGGGGGTTTTCACCCGACATCGGCACCAGCTGTGGACCTGGCCACACTACCCCCGCCTGCCAAATGATGTCGCCCACACGCTGGAAGCCGAACATCGAGTAGTAGATGAAGAAGGGCATCATGGGACACTGCGCAAATGCGTGTGGCTCTCGACGCGCTTCCAACTGCCAACTTGCCACTGGTATTGGAAGCCAACAGGAAGCCGATGCCATTTGAAAAAGACCCTAACCTTTTGAGACATTTAGGCAGATTCGAGAGCCGCACCTGCTGGGAGGCATAGGAAGTGCCCGCAGCCTGGCCGAATGAGTCTCAGACCGAAGGCAGACAGCCTTTGATCAGCGTAGCAAACTGTTTTAAAGCGGGCATACTGCAGTGTGCAATCCCTCCCCGACCCGTCTTTACAGGCACGTCTCAAACAAATTGGCGCATGGGCGCCCAGAACCAATACAAATGGCAACAGCCTAACTTGAAAGTTGGTCAAAGAATGGGGCAAGCCGGACAATCATGCACGAAACGAGGGAAGGCGTTGTCCAATTAGGTTGCTTGCAACAAAGCTTCAGTCCAAGAAGTTGGACCATGTATAGACGGCCGAGAGGAATTCCACTGTTGCCACACTTTCCCATGTTCACGGCTTCCGATGATGTCTCTGCTGTATTTTCGTGTTGTTTCGCATCAAACCCATTTCGGCTTATGTTGTTGCGTGACTCTGCTTTGTTGTCTCTGTGCCACATCCGCTTTTGCGTTTGTCTGGTCGTCGTGTGGATCTGTCGTGTGGATCTGTCTCCTCGCCCTTGTTTTCGTGTGGCTATGCGTCAACGCTGTTGGACTTGTGCTGTCATTGGTGCTGTGATCCAGATCTTGTCTTGTCAGCTATCTTGGACACTGCCCTAGATCTGCGTCGCTGGCCGTCGTCTTATGACATCATGCTGGAGCTTTATGCCGATTTTTTTGTGGGCGTCTTGGCATGCACTGTGGGTCGAGGTCACGCGAAATCGTTCTTCTCGCTTGCAACGTGTTCATTTGCACCTGCCCTTGCCCCCGCCATGGAATCCGCGACTGTGGGGCCAGCCGCTGTGGCCGATGTGGGTCTTGGGTCACCTGCTATCACGCGCGCGGCAAATGGGACACCTCCAGCCAAGCGCCAGCCTGATGTTACCGACACGCCCGTTGCTGTCTACTGACATATGGCTTCTCACGAGCGTCCCAGCTCTTGGCGAGATGAAGATAGTCCCTGTGCGAAGAGCTACACGGTCTGACACTGGCGCCAATGTTCTGCTGTTTCTTCCCTTTCTTTGATTCTTGACTTGGTTCTGCCAGAGCCTCGAAGATCTGCTCTAGAGACAAGTAGCTTTGCGCCGAATGCGGCTCTTGCAAGTTGCACTTTTGACACAGCAACGCGAAGTCATTGCTGCAAAACGCATTGTAGACAAAGGGGCAAGAAGCTCTTGCCCTGCACTAGAAAGCGCTCCGAAAAGCCGCGACCGTATACCCTGTGCACCTAGTTTGCCTCACATGTCAACCAAAGCATCTCCGGACATGCAGCTTCGGCTGTTTAGTGGTTTCTGCTGTGCAACAGGCGACATTACCACTCTGCTGGGCATCCCTGCGATCCAGGTGCAAAGCGCTCCAGCTTCGCTGATGCCTTCCTGCAGGATCTGCCCATCGGGCGCCTGAACGTGTCGCTCTAAAGTCAGATGCGTGTAAGATACCCGCTGCGCGGACCGGTGGCCATGCGGTGTATGTTGATAACTTGGTAGCGGCCGGCTGCCACTTCTTCGCTCTTGCCTTTTCTTCAACTCTGCTCGCATCTGCGAGCAGAGCCACGGAGATACGTACCATGCCCACAAAGCCTCGGGCAAACTCAGGTTCTATGCTAGACACTGCCGCACATACCTTCGAAGACCATGTGAAATTCTGATGGAAACATCTCGTCTTCCGGCGCTAAGTTTGCCAAGCAGGCTTGGGAAACGAGCTACATCGAGCTACTTGTGACGACTGCTTGCTGCCGGCCTCTTTTTAGCCGAGCTGCCACACAAGGTTGCCGGTGATGGCTTCAAATCTCTGAGGGGTTGAACATCTTGCACCCTGAGGAATCAAACAACTCCTGGGCCCCAAGTCAAAAAAAAAGCGAAAAGGCAGAGAACAGGACACAGACTCTGTCACCGGCAGCCCGTGATCACTGGCCCGAGCGTCGGGCTTGGTGAAACGCACCGCTTCGAGCGATCACATCCCACGCCATCCTCCGAGGCAAGGAGAGGGCGTCTCGTCAGCCAGTTGGGTGTTCAAGTAGGGGTCTCCCAAAACGGCTCGGTTGGTTCCTTTTTGGTTACAGTACCCGGTTGGTTCCCTTTTGGTTACCAACCAAAACGGTCTCCGCCGTGTCAAACTCACAGTTCGACAGGACTTTGCAAGCTGCGAGGCCATGATTCACAACGTCTTGACATCCGGAAGCACCATGTAGACGCTTACGCCAAGGCCAAGCCCATGAATTAGGCGTGGAGCGGCCTAATACTGAGAGGGGAAGTAGATGTTCTCTGACATGCCCCCTCCAAACAAGATTCGCTAGTGTTCCTCAAGTTTTATGTGCGCCAAAGGACAAAAAGCAGGCACTCTGTTTAACAAAGCCAGAGCGGGGCTGTTTGAACAATAGTGGCTTCAACCTGCTTTCAACAACGGGTTGGCAAAGTAAAGAAAGACCAAGAGAACGTGTTTACGGACTGCGGAGGCAACCGCCTTGCCCACTAGGTCACTAGGCCACTGGGTCACTAGGCCGCTGGGTCAGGTGCTGAACATGAAATGCCTTTTGCTTTGCTTCCCCCAAAACAAAAACGTGTTTGCAGGATTGAAGAATACTTCGCAGCAATAGTCGCATGCTGACATTTGCTAATTCCACCGTCATCAACCCAGCGGGCTGTTTCGTTTCATGAGTGTGGAGCAAGCGTCAAGCTGTTTGGGTTCTGCAGCAACCTGCTATCGACCCCATCTTTTCCATAGGCCAACGTACAGGGCCTGCCTTCCGCCGCCGCGGAGCTCCGCCTGCACGCAGGATCCAGAGCAAAATTGGGGGGGGGGGGGGTGCGCCTTATCTTGTGCACGTGCACCCGCTGCCCTATTGTGGATGGACGAAATCCATTTCGCACCACGTAAGAAACACTGGAATGATGATTCCCCTGTAAATACCAACAAACAATGGTTTCCCATGGTTTCTTAGGTGGTGCGAAATGGATTTCGCAGCCATCCACAGTATGAACTCCACCAGCACAACTCCTTCCGAACCTCGGTCGAGTCTGCCCGGCCTGGAGCCAGCCTCGTAGAAGCTCTTGGCATCTGCCCAAGAGCAATCCTCCCGGAAGCTGCCGCAGCCAAAGCTGGGCCTGGCAATGGCTAGGACAAACAACTCACCCGACTGGTCCATGGCCGGTTCTTCTCTCGCACAGTCTCCCAGGCGCGAAACGTCCATAGCTGGTCTGCCATTTAAGGCCCCAGGAACAAATACAAATATGTCCAGTAGTGATGAGTTCCAACAAGGGAAAGAAAAATACAAACAACAAAAAACCTAAGGCAAATGGAGCTGGTGCGTGACATTCGACCTGCCTGGGTCTTCCAGTTGGCGGCCCTGCTGGGGGCACCGGCTTCACCTCATGTGGCAAATAAAAAAGACCCCGCCTCTTTTTGGGCAGTGCCTTTTGTAAGGCTCGGAGCATCAGTTCAGTCGGTTCCAAGCAATTTGCAACCAGTTGAGTTGGTGTCCGGATCCTCTCTTTTTTTTCCGGATCGACTGCAAGAGCAGCAAAGCATGCAGTCAAAAAAGGGACAACCTGACAGTTTCAGACTCTTCCCAAACAAAGAGTCAGCCCGGGCTGAGAAGACAGCCGCTTCTGCCACGGCACATGCATAGGCACGTTCGGCAACAAGCCCTCCAGGAGTGGATGCTGCAGGTGGGATACAGCCTCGACAAGGCAACTTTTTCTCAAGCCACACCCTGTCTAGAAGATGCTGTGCTATTTATATAGTGAATGCATGTACCCGTATGTCGTGTACATCTGGCATGACCAGTATGGCACCAATGGGCGACTTTGAAACTGGCCTCTCAGACAAGTGCTCCACCAGTTCCCCAAACTTATCCAGCTAAACTTATCCAGCTAAACTTATCCAGCTGTCCTTCCACCTGATGCCCGAAGCATACGACTCCTGATTCTTCGAGTCATTACTGGCCTCATTATTTTGCCATGGTCAAAGTCACCCCCTAAGTGGTGGGTTAAAGGGAAACAACCCCGTTTCTGACTTTGATAACCCCGAGAAACCGTCAAAATAATGACCCCTGCATTAGGCTTTTGGGGATCTTCAGATTGCATCTCAGATCGCTTACTGCCAGAAGGATTGGCGGGTCAAAACGTCGAGCATGAAGCTTGTTGATTGCGCTCGGCAAAAGGACCAAGAAAGGAGCGGCCAGAACAATAGGCAACAATACAGAATGCAGCGCCTACGAGCCCATGAAGTTGCTCAAGAGGCTCGGGCATGACGAGACCATTGTTCAATCAGGCTCATGTTGCGACACGGATTCTGCGCTTTGGCTCTTGCGACTTGGCCGAGCCTACTATTGTCAACCGATGCCGCCCGAAGTTCAAAATCACCCGCCCAAGTTTCAAGAAGATATCTGTGCTCTGGTCAAAACTCCTTGTGTGAGCTACAATGGTGACCATCTTACGTGCTTCCCTGGTATGCATGCCCAAGGAGTTCCTAATTCCCAGCGAATCCCAAGCCCCCCCAAAGCAATTCTTTGGTGTCCCCCTCTTTATTTCCCAAAATCCCTCTTCTCGGGGCTCTTGCAGAAAGATGATACCGGATGGACAAAGTCCTGCACCTAAAATTCCCTTGTGTCTGACCCGATTCCCAAATGCAAATACCAGCAAAAACCCATGGCTCTTCATTTTGCACTGCGAATTGGATTTCGCGCAGTAGGAAACTTGCTGCTGCTCTGCAGGGAAGGAGAAATGGAATGGCCCCCACAAGTCATCCACATTTTTTGGTGTTTCCTTTAATTTTAAGGGAATCCATGACCCCTACCATTCATCCCCAATTCCACCATTCATCCCCATTTAAGGCAATCCAATTCCCAAACCGGTTCATTGCTTCAGCCACCTGCCCCCACGCGCCCCGGTGCTCGCCTTCATGGCCTCCGCCCGCTGGGCGCTCAGCTCCGCCTGCTCCCGCAGCAGCGCCCGCTGCTCCGTGCGCATGGGCGAGGCCTCGCCCGGTATCGCACCGGGGGACGGTGAGCTTCGGAATGAGGGGAGGGGATAGAATGAGCTTTCAGAATGAGGGGATGGAGCCTCGAAAGGGGAGGTGAGCTTTCAGAATGAGCTACAGAAGGATTTGGCCTTTCCAATAGGAAAGAACCTGGCCATTTCAACAAACAAATCGGCGGACAGCTTGCTGGAAAAGCTGACTTGGCAAAAAATAACAACACGAGATTGTGGTGAAGCAACACGTGGCCAACCCAGCTTCTAAGCTGTGAGAGATACCCAGGCCGAGGGATTTGAGAGATGTGCACCGCTCACTCATCATGCTTCTACCCGGGACGTCTCAGGCCCAACAGGCCCAAAGTGTTCGGCTTGGCAGCGGAGGTAAGTGACAAGTTTGCCCCGGAATCCAAGTCCTGGAAAAGCCAAGTCTCGACATGCACCATTTGGCGCATGTGGCTTTTTCAGGTCTCTAGATGGCTATGGGTCAAAAATGCGTAACCAAAATGAAACCCTGGTAGATGGAACCAAAACTAAGACCTGCGGCCCCCTGTGGGTGTATTTTGACCCATACCCAGATATAGTTGGGCAATGGCCTCTGGCAGCTTCCATCAACACTCCGCGCGCCTCCAAAGGCTTGGTGCAAGTCAAGCGCTTGCGCTTGGCCTTCGGCCGCTTCTTCGCTGCTGGAAGCTCGCCCTGCAGAAAGCCCTGCGAAAGACCTTCCTCGGCTTGGGACATGGCTATGGGTCAAAACACAAATCGTACCCCCAGTGAACATCCCAATCCAACCGCCACATGGCCTTGTCTGGCCAACGACTGATCAGAACTCGTTCCTTATGTTTGGTGTGGGAGGGGAACATGCACGGAACATACCAAACACCAAACATAGCAGCAGGGAATCTGAAGGGATACGGGGAGAATGAGTCAAACGCGGTGGGGAAGAATGCAATGCTGTCTTCCCGGGCTTCTTTTGCTGCCTGCATGGAACATAAAAGTATGCTTTGCATTATGTATGAGGCGAAACGTTGCAGAATGAATGTCCAACTGCAGCCTTGTTCCTGTATTGCAAGGCCTGGTAAATGCATGACTCAGGAGACAAACGAATGTATGCCACCATTGAGAAGGGTCATCGTGCTTAAAACATATGCACGCACATCTTGTTACACAGAAGCCTCGATGAAGTCTCCGATCTTACTCCACCTCAGCCAGAGGATGCTTTAGAACTATGCCTGGGACCACCCAAGCACAACACGGTCAGCACAAATTAACAAGAGATCCAGGACTCTGTTGTGGCCCAACCCTTAGACTAGGTTCTCTATTGTTTCAATCAAGCAAGGCTTTGCTGGGCAAAAGCATTCGGAATGACCGGGCAACAGCATCAGAAGGCAGCTGCAACAGCAGAAGCAGCAGCAGCAGCAGCAACGATGACTTGGTATCAATCACAACTCAGTTGTTTCCATCCTCCAGCATGTGTCTGCGGAAAAATCAGTTGCTAGCCATGGTGCTGGGTAGATGTCCCAGGATCCGCCAAGGACCTCTTTCGCAAACTCCTCCTGCCGAGGCGTGCAGCGTTCGATCAACTGCAAGTGCGCAAACTGTCAAGATGTCATTAGCTCATTCGCCCTGTGCAGTCATGGCATAGGCTCTGAAAAATCCGATACCATAGGATCAGTCTCTCCCAAGGCGTTTGCTCTGCACCAATTGGCGACAGCACCTCTCCCCCTGCCTGGTTTTTGAGCAGGAAGGGTCTGAGCATCCTGAGCTTGCAGAGCCGAGATCCAGCGTCAGAGGTCACGCCCGCAGCATGCCAGCAATGAGATAGCATCTGCAAAAGCGGCTCCAACGTGCCTTTCTCAATGATTGATTTCCCAAATATTGTAAGCGAGTCTGACAGAGCGTCACTCCTCTGTGTCTCATTTACTTTTTCGTGGCTGGCATCGCAATCCTTGGGGGTTTCTTGATATTGGTATTGGTTGATCCGGTTGGAGCTGCCCTGCCAAAGGGTTCGCCTGGCGCTTACTTTAGTTGGCGTACCTCTGCCAGGCATGGAGAAAGGAGCTCAACCCGGCATCTTGGAAGTGCTTCTTTTTACATATTTTTCTCCGGAGTGCCGAGTGTCGGGACTTGCCATGATTCAAATCCCCTGGACACTTTCGGTTTTCCCGACTCCTTAGATGCGGCAAGTGCCAAGGCGCTGTTTGGTCTCCGCTTTGACGCCAGCCTCCGGCTCCGGCTCGCCGGGCTCGCCGGGCTCGCCGGGCTCGTCGGGTCGCTCGGGTTCCCGGGGCTCCCGGTTGAGGTGGGCTCCCGCACCGACGCCCAGCTGGTGTTGGATCTTCAAGGCCAGGGGCCCGCCGATGCGGTGCCTGGCGAAAAAAACGGCTGCGGAGAGTCCACGGTTCACTCAGACAAACTTGGTCCCACTTTGGGATTCATATCTGCATCTCTCTCGCGCCTGATGGTGCTAGTGGTCCTGGAGTAGAAGGGGATCAGCCCGGCCTCCTGCAGGCGTGAAGCGATGAGGGGTAGATATTGATCTACGAGGGCATGAAAATCATGATGCTGGGTTGCTGTGTGTCTGTGTACGTGCGTGCGTCTGTGTATGTGTGTGGGTGTGTGTCTGTGTCTGTGTCTGTCTGTGTCTGTCTGTGTCTGTGTCTGTGTCTGTGTTTGTTCGTGTGTGTGTGTGTGTGTGTGTGACGACACATCCGCCCATGCTTGCAGTAGCTCGTGCTCAGGTTTGCCAGTTCCAGGAAAGGGTAGGCTGGGCAAGCGTCAGGAGCAGGACAAAGGCAACAGTCCCGCACGACGATGCAAGCAAGCAAGCAAGCAAGCAAGCAAGCAAGCAAGCAAGCAAGCAAGCAAGCAAGCAAGCAAGCAAGCAGGCACGCACGCAAGCAAGCAAGCAAATCAAACAAACAAACAAACAAACAAACAAACAAACAAACAAACAAACAAACAATCAATCAATCAATCAATCAATCAATCAATCAATCAATCAATCAATCAATCAATCGGCCGGCCGGCCGGCCGGCCAACCAACCAACCAACCAGCCAGCCAGCCAGCCAACCAACCAACCAACCAACCAATTCATCAATCGATCAAACAATCAATCAAACAAACCCACCGTGCCAAAGCGTCCTTCATCTTCACCAATTCCAACTCCTCTGCGGGTTGTCCGTCTCGCACACGCCGCAAGGCGCTCGCGGGCCGCCAGTTGTCTACGTACCTAAAAAACAAACGACGAACGCATGTATCGCATTCACTTCATCGAAGTCGCTGGCAAAACTTGCTGGTGAGATAGGCAGGGAATGAGAAATGGAATGACCCGAAGATAAACCATCCCCTGTGGTTTCCTTTAAGGGGACCCCTGGTCCTTTCAAGGGAGGCCAATTGGATTCGTGTTAGAAGTGACCAGTCCTGGGTGTGCGTTTCTTTTGATACGGGACCCTGGGTTTATTCCCACATTCCCTACTGAGCACCAGCAGGAAATGGATTTCTGTCTGAGGTGACCGGTCCGCACCTTGACATCATCTTACGCCTGTCTCGATTCGTATTTAGGACTTTTGCCTCGAGGGTATAGAATGTTTCAAGCATTACATTCGCATGTGATAATACGATAGGACCTTACAAGATGAGCTCCAGGACAACGATGAGCAACTTTGATTCAATTTTGCTCACAAAGTTGATCCCTGATTCTTACCTCCCTGTGACCCCGAACAAGAGGCAGGCACAGTCTACCACAAGCCACCCAGCATGTTCAGATATCCACGCAAGGACCCCGAGAGACACAATAAAAACAGGCACAGAGACACAAAATCAAGGCAAAGTCACTGCTCCAAAATCCAACTCCCCATTTTGTAGAAAATAAGCCCAAAGTGGTATCCCCAGCAACATCCGGAATCGAGCGTGTAGATGGCAGTCCGCAACTTGGTCTTCCTCCGGATCTCTTATCAAAGCCGAAGGCTTTTGGGGCTGCCATTTTTTGGGCATGGTGTGCTGGGTGTCCAAAACCCTTGCAATTTGCCAGTGTTTTCGGGGCTTGCGTGCTTAAAACTTTGCTTTCACCTAGGTTTCTCTTGGGGGGGGGGTTCCGGGGACGCGCAGGATCTGCATCCCCAGCATCATCAGGATTACCTTGCTGCTATGAATTTGTCTCTTCTTTTTGCAGATACTAACGGTGTTTTGCTGTTTCAAGCGATGTTGGAATCGGCCTGTTAGGGGTTTGGGTGGGGCCAAGTGCAGTGATACGTTGAGGAACTGTTTGAATTTGCAAAAATGAGTGTTTTTTGCAATTCCCCACCTGTACGGAGCAGTTACTGCGAAACATCCCCTGCATTATCGTGTTTTTGGAAGTCTATTTCTAGTTCATTTAAGGAGGGTTGCTAGTACCGGCCTTTGATTGTTGATTTTGGGAAATATCAAAAAATCCTGTTTGTTAAAAAAAAAAAAAAATGTGGCCAGCCGGCTGCATTCCCAGCATTGCCGGCATCTCTGGTATTTTCTGTGTTTGGTCATTTTTTCGCCCTTGCATTCCAGCATTTTTTATAGGGAAATGTCTCTAAACTGGCAAATTCAGACCTTCTATCATCTGGTGCCAACAAGCAAGAGAATCCCTTGCACCCCACTGGCGTCGGCGGATCGCGTATTCGGAAAGCCCCCCCCATCTGACCCGAGTCGCTTGGAGCTGCCGGCGTTCCGGTGCTCCTCTTGAGGAGCCGCCAGGCTGGAGGTCAGGTGCTTCTTGGCCAGGTACACCCTGCGCATCCGAACCCCGCACGCTTTATGGGTCAAAATTAGACCAGGGGACCGCAGATTTTAGCCCTTGGTTCCAGTACCCAGGGTTCCATTTTGGGCCTTTTGGGTACCCATTTTTGACCCCACCCCTTTAGATTCTCCAGCTGCTTCGGCTGCGCCTTTTCGGGGGTTGTAGGTTAGGTGCCTCTTGGCAAAGTGCCTAGGCCGACTGACCGCTCGACAAATGCAGGGGGGCATGAACATAAACAAGGAGCAGCTATCCATGGATTCAACAGAGAAATGGTCTTGGGGCCGCAAATGATACTTGATGGTGCACTGTCGGCTGTCATGTCAGAAACCAAGGCATCTCCTACACTATGGACAAACTGAATCACGGCCAGACCACAAAGTGCGCCAATTCTCGACTACCAGGGAATGGGCAGTAGCCAAGCTGCTGGAAACGCCCGCGATTCGCGGGTTGCCGGAAGCTGTGGAGGCGTGCATGGATTGTCGTGTGCTTGGGCAGCGGTTTGAACTCGTGTTCAAAGACGTTTCTCCAGTGGGCATTCGCGTACAAACAAGGCCAACGAAATCCAATCCAAGCAATTCTTCAATTGCAGCCCTGCCAAATACAACTTGGTCCATATTGAAGTGACATCCTCAAAATGACCCTACATGGTGGCTTTTCAAGCGATCCGTCCCAAAGGTAATTTCAAGAACCCCACAAAATATTCACTCCGACCCAGAAGCTCCAACGCTGTTCCCACCTCACACCCCTCTGCAAGATCTTCACCATCTGGATCTGATGATCCAAGCGCTCCTCAGAAGAAACTCAAAGAGAGAATTTCAGGGGTTGAGCTTGGAGTATTTGGAGTATAGTTTCCCACGGGTGTCGGGCTTGCTTGACAGTCAGCCAAAGGATTCCTCTAGAAATGATGGCACGGGTTCCATGTTCAGCAGAAAAGTAACATGCTTGCATTTGTTGGATCCCTTCATACGAGCCACAAGCAACCCCGCATGCCTTTTTTTCGCGGGGCAAGCAGCAGGATGCGAACGCCGGATTCCGAACTGGCACCTCGTAACAAGCTGCCCTGACCTCCCTGACCTCCCCGACCCCCTGCCCATGCGCTCCTGGTAGGACTTCCTATGCCTCTGCAGAATCATCTCTATGGTGTCGTGCCACATCTTCCGCACGACGTAGGCCCTGAACCTGGCCCAAACTCGAAACAGCTGGGCCAAAAAAAAAGCCTGAACGACCCCAATTCTGGAGGGCGCACCCTCCCAAAAAAGAAGCGTCACCGGATCCGCAAACGTCTGCTGATGAAAGCCGAACTCTCGCGCTGAAGGTGAAATCAACTGGCCGGCTGATTGAAAGACCAAAAAGGCGCATGGTGGGTGGCTTTCTCGCCTGCTCAAAAATGGTCACGATGACCTGTATCGCAGCAACCCGCAGTCGGACTGGCTCTCCCAAACAACTCCCTTGAAGCAGTGCCCTAGGTTCTCTCAGTCCTTTCGGCGAAGTAAAGCTCGGCAAACATTGCGACTTGGCCTAACTTGCACTGGCTTTAGCAGGATTCCCTGCAAGCTTCTTGCCTGGAAATGTAGAAAACCCCACCTTGCGATGGTGTCTCAAGGGGCCCAACTCCCCCCCCCCCCCGGCCCGCCAGCGTTGGATCGTCACGCTGGCCCTGCCCATCTTCTGCCACAGCCGCCACAGGGTGCTGGAGATCCTAAGGGACAAGAAGCACCGACCTTCGCCTCAAGGCCATGGCTTCCTACTTGCGCCTTTGGGGTCTGAAAATTCACCAAACTGTTGCCATTCTCTCTTCTCATCTTTTTTCTCTCTCTCTCTCTCTCTCTCTCTCTCTCTCTCTCTATTCTCTTCTCTCTGTCTTTGTGTCTTTCTTTGTTCCTCTTGCTCCTGAAGTGCTTCATTGGACTCTTGTCCCCAGCCTATGCTTTGTAAAACATGATATGCACCATCAAACCCTAAGGCGTCGCAGTGCCGCTATCTCGCCCCGTGCCCGTTCCGGGCCTCAGCACACGGGCAATGCGCTTCGCCAGAATGGTACGCCACCAGGTCTGGATCCGCGTGGCACCTCCGAAGCTCGGCTTCTCATGAGCGAGCGCGTCGGCTTCCGGACTGCCCCTGAAGCTATTGAACGAAGATGCGGAAGCTAGAACAGAGAAATCTAGGGGTACCTTCCATTTCCACTCTTTCCAGGGATCCTTCTTTCTAGAAAGCCTCCGGAAACCCAGGGAAGACGGCCGGTGTTTGGAAAGAGCGATGGATGAAAAGAATGGGGAATCAACCCCTAGAAGAAATCACCTCATTGATGCGGTCGGTTGGACTTGTGAATGAAAGCCTTCTCCCGTGTAGCCTCTCTTGAGAGCCCATGGGTCAGTCTGGAGACACCAAGTAGTCAGCAGCTATCCCAGCTGCAAAAGTGCTCTTCGGTTAGAATTTCCGCATGAGCACGCCTATCGCACTCCTCAGTCTCCCAATGTTGGCCCCGTACTAGTCAACCCCAGTTTATTAATAGGGGGGGGTGTTCCCTCCAAAAGTGATGATTCCCCACTAAACCCAGAGGGACACCCCCGTATTCATAAACAGGCTCAAAATTAAACAGCAGAGGTTACGCAGGTGTTGGTCCATGGTTCCACTCACCAGGGCAACCCACTTTTGAATTCCTGTTTTTTTGAGCCACGGCCAGGGTCAACATTCTTCACCGGCGTCGCACGTGGCTCGCGGCTGCAGGCCTCGCTCCTGGTCCTGCTGGGTGTATTGGAGCCCGTGGATCTGCTGGCGCAGGCCGCTCAGATCCTCCGAAAGCTTCCCCTCCAGCTCCTGCGTGGATTTGACGCGAGTCGTGGACCCATGGCTCAAGGCCCAAATCGGTTCGCCCCCAGTGAACATCCGATTCAATCTACTCAAATAGGTTCGAAAATGGGTGGTGCAGTTACCTACCCCAAAATGGTATCATCGGTGTTGACAAAAGCCACTTGTGAGGCCCCCTGAACACTGGCGAACAAAGGTCGAGTTCCCACCGAGCAACACCTCGGCACTAGAGAGGGAAGTCTAACAGTCGACAGTGGCTGGCAACTTGAAGGCTCTCAAAAACAGGTTCGACTGAAGCACACCGCTGGACGGACCAGCTGCTCCGCATAATCGCCTTGCGCCTGGGCCAAGTGAAACCCAAGGCCTGTTGGTGAACAGCTCATGAAAGAACAGGTGTATTTATTTGCGAAACTTGTTTTACTCTAAACTTGGCAGAAAGGTTGCAAAGAGCGAACTGCCCGGAGCAAAATGGAAGCTTGTATCGCGCGCGTCCGCACAGATTGCCCCCCCGCAGTCCTTGATATCTGGCGACGGCGTGGCAATTGCCTGGGCCGCACCCAGACAAAGGCAGCAGTTCTGCAAACGGAAGTCTACTGCTGGGTTGCTTCTCATCAAGCTCAGAAAGGGTGGCGAAGCTGCTGGCCGGTGCTTGAAACCTTCAGCGTGCTTGGATGTACATGCACCACACCGTTGCGTTGTTTTCGGGCCCACATCCATCCGCGAAGCTGCCTTGACGCAGACGCAGTAACAATCTTGTACCAAGGCTACCTTCGTAGGTTACGCCAATCGCATTTTCCAACTCGTCTGCGGCGATCTTTTTGCGGCGATCGATCGGGCCTTCATGGCGCGCTGCTCCCTCACGACCTTCTTCACCGCACCCTGCAGCCGTGCCCGGAGCTTGGCCCGCTTCTCCTGAGTGAGCCACTTGTGCCCGGTGTCGTGCCTTTGGGGTTGGGAAGGGCCGGGAAGGAAAAAACTTGCCCCATGTAGCGCCCACCCAAGCTGAAACTCGAGCTGTGTACAGTTGCTTGATCCGCTCAAATGGACACTCCTTCAATGTTGCACCGCTGAAAGGGCGCTCCTGCTCCGTCAGTCGGCTCTCCTCTAGGCGTTGTCGCTCCTGTCGCTCCTGGCTTGTGTCGGCACTGTGTACGAAGACAATCAGGGGCGCAAGGAAATGCAAGCAAATCAAATCTGCACAAAGGAGGTTACAACCTGCCAATGCACAAAGAGTGGCATCATTTAATGTAAGCTCAAGCATCAGCTTTGAACGTGACATTGGCATGATTGCAACAAATTGTCAAATGACTGTTGCTTGCGCTTATTGTGGCCTCTTGTGTTTATTGAACACAATAGAACCTTTCGGTTATTCTCCAATTCATGGTTTTTGAGAATGCATGTGTGTGTGTCGAGCAAAAGCCTGGAAACTCCCAAACTTGCTTGCCCCCTTCAAAGCTCAAAGCCTGACATCCGTCAATCTCTTTTTTGGACCCAGAGCTGTTGACTGCTATGGGCCGTTGTGGCATGGTCAAAACTCCGAAGGGTATGGTCCCCATTCAACGAACAGCTGATAGCCTTACTCACGCCGACACATGTTTTGGCAGCCGGCCATCACCGTTTCCCCTACTTCCGCCGCAAATGAATATGTTTTGCCCAACAAGGGGGTACTTTCCCCAAAATTAGATTCCTCTAAAATGTCTCGGTTGTTCGGAGCCTTTTAAGCAAGTTTAATGGCCTACTGCCTACTTAGACCAATTTTTCAACCATCTTGCATCGATTTCTCGGTGCCCTTCGCGAGGGGCCTTCTCCCTGGCCAGGTGCAGCTGCTCCAACAACTCTTCGCGGCTCGCTGCGTGCTGTGCCAGCTGGGGCTTCAGCCTCGGGTTGCAGCGGAATCGACACCAACTGATCCCCGAACAACTCGGGGTGATGACCACACCACAAAGCAAGTGCACCACCACCACCACCACCATCATCACCACCACCACCACCACCACCAGCACCACCACCACCACCACCACCACCACCACCACCACCACCACCACCACATCACCATGTATGCTTCACCGCTGACCTTTCAAACTTGAAACCTTCTGATGCCCTTCACCGTGATACAAAGGACTAGAGGCAATCCATTCAATCGCATGCTTGAGACAATCATCGCATTGTCCTGTCATGTATCAAATACAAAGCCAAGAAGACGCCAAGGCAACTGTGCTGTGGCTTGGTCTTTGACTGCTATTGTAGCCATATCCTCACGGACTTAAGACGTGACCCCAAGCACGCCTACAGCCTTCTGGCGATGCTTCCGCTTCGATCGTTCTGAGGTTCAGCATTGGGATGTTCGGAGGGCTGCGTTTGATACTGCTTATACAAACTTCGATAAGGGCGATGTGTGCAAAGAGGCCGCTGAAACCTGCTTTCTCCCTACGCTGAAGTGTTCTGACTTGATGCCTCCAAAAAGGAGCTGAGAAGGTTCTGGTGCGGCGACGGAGCCCATTGGTTTGCTTTACGTGCCTCGTTCGTGACCTCAAGCAGTGCAGCGTGGGGAACCAAGCGTCTCCGCTGCTCCCTGAACGTGGATCGATCCACTTCGATGTTGGACAAGTCGACATTGGCAAGCTTGATTGACTAAGGTAAGCTTACTGGTACTTTGTTCTCGCCACATCCTTGTTAAAAGGCTCTGAAACATCAAAATCAACAGCAATGCGTGCCAAATACATTTCGCAAACAACTCCACTAGGCTTATGGGCACCTTTAGATGGCTTCTACATGCAAAATCACCATCAAAATAGACAGGCCGCTAACACTGGCATCCGACCAACTCCTGCACATGGTGGAGTTCCGTTCGAAGTGAGTGCATTTCATACAGCATGCTAAGGATTGGCACTGTGGTTGTGTGCCACGGCCATCAAAGCGGGAATCATCTATCACACTTCCTCTCTTGGCCTTATGACTTACGAAAGGGGATTACGCTGGACAAAAACGCTCTTCACCTTTTTCAGTTTCTCCAGCCCCTTTGAGGTGAGTCCGAGGCGCTGCTCTATCTCCTCCTGGATCATCGTCAAAGTGCTCCACATATCAGGCTTAGCACTCGAGGCCTTCCGCCGGCGAGGCACATCCTCGTCCGACTCCATGGCGGCGCTCCGGAGGTGTTTTCGCGAATGAGGCCAGATTGCTGCGTGTCAACTGAGCCGAAGTCGCTTTTTGTTCTCAGGCTCAACCACCTTCGTCAAATGGCTGTGGGTCAAAACCCTACCCCCAGTGAACGTCCCAATCCCCACTAAAATAGACTAAAATGGGTGGTGCACCTACCCCAAAATGGTACCATTGGTGTTGACCCACGGCCAAATGACTTGGCATCAACCAACTTCAACTGAGGAATTGGTGCCCGGATTCATGGATTGCCAGGCCGCCTCGGCAGCCTTGAGCTGCTACACTCACAGTCAAGACAACCATTTCCATGCGGCAAACCCGTGTCACACAGCGCACCCATACCTGCGAAACAGAAAGGATGTGTCCTGTGCTTCCCACATGGGGAAGCCCAACGGTTTTGTGAGTTTGACCATGAAGCACTGCAGAGCCTACAAAAGTGTAGACTCGCCTGGTCGGTTTCCTGGACTCCACGCATTGATTCACACCGTTTCCGGCTGCCCTATCAGACATCGCTGAAGCGGGCAACCCTGGCCCGAAGCCTCCGCATATTTCATGAGACTGTCGTGATCGACGGGCGTGTAATGCTGCCTGCGAAGCATCGAGCCGCGAAGCATCCGGAATCAGGGATCAAGGCGCATCAGATGCACACTGCTGACAATCAAACAAAGGGGTAACTTCATGTGGGTGATTCCCCTTGGAGTACGTTCAACTGAGATTGCACAAGCGGCTGAGCAAATGGTAGGATAGACTACTGCCTTCCAGGACCTTCTTCTGGTTTCAGTTACCCGCCCGCGCACCCGAAGGGCGCGTGGATCTTGAACTCGTGGAAGAACGAGTTCATTCCGAAGGTGCGAGCCTGCAAACTTGGCGAACAGGTGCAAGCAGGTGGTCTTGTGGTGGCTCCAGTGCAATGCACGAAGACATGGCAAAGTCCTTTTTTCGCTCTGAAGTCAGCCTTGCAGCTGTGATCGTTGGCTGCGCCAAGGTCACCGTGAAGACACCGAAACACCTCGACCATGGATGACCTGCACGCGGCGAGGTGAGCCTTGTCACCGCGCCGGCCTGTGCTTGTACTTCTCCGCGTCGAAGTGCCGCGGGTCGAAGCCCAGGACGCTGGGCGGCACAGCGCCCTTCTCAGGCAGGTCGCTGTCGGAGTGTGGACTGAGGAAAGGCACGGACTCCGTCTCAACCGCTGGATCATCAGACCTGGAGCAGTAGTAGCAGGTCACACAACTCACCAGCACGGCTGCACCGGCTGCTGCCCACGTCAAGTGATGAAGCCCGAAGAGGGAATGACCCATTGGACCATGCCCATGTGTAGACCCCGACACGACTGACACAACACTGTTGCTGCCCGTGTTGCTTTGCATGGCCCTGGACCATTCACGATCCACCATGGACAGTTGCACATCCTTGGCTTCCACGCCGTGCAGCGCCTGCATGGCTGTGGTGAACCTCTGCCCGGGGCTGAGCTTGAAGACGGAATCCTCGATTACCGCAGTGGCGCTCTGACGCGCTTTGGCGTCCTCACAAAGGACCACGAAGTCTGCCTGCATCGCCCCAGAGCGGGGCTTCGCACGCGTTCCCACTAAAATCTCGGCAGCACGCACCGCCAGGACCTTGATCTCGCCCGTCTGCACCTGCAACATGGAGGAGACGCTGGCCTGCAGAGGCTGCAGAGCAGTTCCATCGGCAAAGCCCTGGACCGCGCCCGGTGGGACCGTGAAGCTGAGGGTGGCCTCCACTCCATCCACGCCGTCGTCGCTCCCGGGAAGTTGCGACTCCGGAAGGAACCACACCGGCTGCATGGTGGTTGGCAAACCTGGTGGCAGCGTCGTCGTTGTGACTGTCACCGTGGTGACCGTGAAGGTTGCAGTAGTGGCAGTGCGCGTGGTCGGCACGGTCTGCGTGAGCGTGACGGTGCTGGGGACGGTCTGCGTGACGGTGTTTGCGACGGTGACGGCGGTTGCAGCGGCCTCGCCCCACGGCACTGCATTGCTCCACGCACTGCGCGCAACCTCGCCGGAGACCTCGGAATTCTGCAGGGCTCGGACTCTCGCGTAGGCGACCGTCTGCACAGGAGGAAGGGGCAAGGAGGTGTTGGAGACGATCTGCGTCTGGTAGCTGGAGAAGTCGGGAACCGAAGAGAACCACACCTCGTAGCACGGCGTGGTGCACCGTACCTCCATGGCCATGGTGCTCACTATCTCCGTGCCACGGGTGGGAGGCGTCGTCCACTTCAGGCCGTCCCCAAGGAGCGAGGCTTCCATGTGGGCCCTGCAAAAGTTGGCCGCCTCGCCGAAAGGCCCTGAGGCCTGGGGGTCGCAAAAGCTGCAGCCCCTGCATTGCTCTGCGCACGCGGGGCAGCCGTTCTTGCACTCATCGGGACAGCCGTCGCCGCCACCAGTGATCAGCGGTGAGATAGTGGTCAAATCTCCGCCTGGCAGCGTTGGTGGCCCACGGTACTCTGCCGATGTCAGCTGCTCCTCTGTTGTGGTCGTCTTGGGCTTGTTCCAGTAGCCAGGATTGAGGATGTTGTCGTCCGGATCTATTTCTTCCACGACTATTGTGGTTGTTGCTACTGGCGTGGTGATTTCCGTGGAAGTGGTAGGATCTGGTGGCAAAGTCAATGGTGCAGGCTTTATCACCATGGGCTCAGGTGGAAGAGTGGTAGTTGTGGTGGTTGTGGTGGTCGTGGTGGTTGTGGTGGTGGTTGTTGTGGTGGGTGTGCTGGTTGTGGTGGTTGTGGTGGTTGTGGTTGTGGTGGTTGTGGTTGTGGTGGTTGTGGTTGTGGTAGTAGTTGTGGTAGTGGTTGTGGTAGTGGGTGTGGTCACTGCCGCGAGCGTGGTTTCAGCAACCTCGCTCGTCTGTGATGTCGAGTCAGAGCACCACACCATGGTCGCAGCCATAAGCTGCAACAAGTGCCGAAAACGCATTGCGGCATTGAGACTGCTCCGGGATGCTGTCTCAAAGATGGAACCGACACAAAGACACCTGTTTTTAAGACTGCTGCTTTGGATTTGAATAGTAGCAATGCTTGGCAAGAATGTCATCCAGAAAGGCGTAGAAGCTATCTTTAATGGAACATGATTGAACCAACATGTGTGATCCATCGCCTGTGGGGCGGCTATTAAGCGAGCAAAATGCGTGCAGCCACGTAAAAACACATCAACCAACAATTCAACTCTTTGGCAAGCTCCAAACTATTCGCTGCGGCCCTTCCCTGCAAGCCACTACAGTTAGCGGTTGGTTTTCTTGCAATAGTGCAGCCACGGATGATGTCACTTGCTTCGCCAAGTTGTACATCCCCGCGTCTTCTCCGCATGGAGTCGTCTTAAGTCGCCCATTTGAAGGATTCAAATGGGTATGGGTCAAAATAGAGCAGCCAGGGATTTACCGGGGTTCCATTTCGGGTACCTATTTGACCCACAGCCAAATAGCAGCGAACTTCACAGCCGAACGTCCGCCTCTGCCCGGCCTCATCCGTGATCATGGGTACACACCGCTTCCCGAACTCGCCAGCCTCTGTGCATTTGGCAACTGGAAGTCGCCTTCTCCCCGAGCATTGGCTGGGCGAAGTGCACCAACAATGGTGCGAACCGTGGGTTAAAATCCAAATCGTACCCCCAGTGAACATCCCAATCCCCACTAAAATCCCGACTCAAATGGGCGATGCTGCACCTACCCCAGAATGGGATCCAAAACGGTTTTGGCCCATGGCCATGTGCGAACCTTCCCCTTTTTCTTCCCAAGTCGATCCATGGCCTTCATCAGGCGCCGCAAGAGCGTAGCAAAGGCCATGGTGGTACTCATCGCCTGCGAGGGGCGCGGGGGGCGAGCATCTCTATCTCGGCCCGCCGTATGGGAGCTTCTCAAAATGGCCGGTTGGTGCTTAAATAGACAAGGAAACCAACCATTTTCGGGGGGCCTGGCGCCCTAGGGAGTCATTTTGGTGGCACCAACCTGCTGCAAAAACGAAGAAATATATTTCATCTGTGCTTCCCCCCCCACAGGGCAAGAACCTTCAAGCATTTGCAAAATATTGGACTTCTGGAGTGCACCTCTGCAGTTTGGCTGCATATGTCTGAGGAAAAACTGCCCAGCATCAGGTTCGCTCCGAGCTTTCTTGCGCCGATGCCCTTTAGGCGTTGATCAGGGCGCAGAACTCATCGAAATCAATCGCGCCGTCCTGGTATCTCACAACAGCTTCTCACTTGGCTTGAAAAAGCCGACTTTAGTCCGCTCCCCCGATTTATTAATACATCCACCCTTCGTAATAAATATGCAAATCAAACAACAGAGCTCTCCCCTTTTGTTTTCAATTCACCCACTACCAACCAATACTAAACTCCTGACAGCCCCTTTTAGGGGGTAGTTTCAGCACTGCCGTTTATTCTTATTGTTTGCTATGCAATTGTGTCTGTAAATTTGGATCGACAAATCCCAAAAAATGAGTCGGAGGGACCCCATTTGGACAAGTAGTGGAAACCCTGTGGGACCACCGGAAACCCTATTGACATATATATATATATAGAGATACATATGATTTCCCAATAAAAAGCATTAATAGGCGGATCTAAGAGGGGGGATGAATGTAGTGTGGGCAGCACCATCCACAAACAAAAATGTGATGAAGGCCTGGAGACCAATGAGTCCAAATCCATGCGAGTCCATTCGGTCTCCCAGTCCTGTCCGATGTCTGCCTCTCGGAAGGCTTCCAGCTTGCTTGCTGGCCTCGAGCCAAGGCTTCCGAGCGGAGGACCAACTGCCCCGAGCATAGTGGGGCTCATAGTGTCATCGCTGGTCAAAGGGCCACTGGCGACTGGCGACCAACGGCATGGCCCACTTGGCTCACAGAGTTCCCCTGCCCAGCGTTCTTGAGGATCTCGGACAGCGCGGCCAGGGAGATCTTGCCTCGAGCAGTCGGTGACTTTTTTTGGCTGCGCTGGCACATCGGAAGCAGCCCAGCCTGGAAAACCAATGGTCTGCCTTGACAGGCTCATTTCGGGTGATTCAAACCTTCACGCTGCTTTCTCTATCAACCTCATCACATGGGACTCCCAAAAGCTCGCGAGTCTGGCCCTGACAAATCCCTGGCAAAGGAGCGGTCAAGTATCTAAGCTGCTTAGAAGGCATCATCTGCTTCCCACTTGGACCATCTGGCACTGCGCAGTAGTCCTCTCCCCCCTTGCAAACTTGGCATGAGAGAGCTCATGCCAAAGAAATGAAAGCAAATCCTTTCCGCATAGCATGGCCATGCATACCCAAGAGACGCGCCCAACAACAGACAGGCTCAAGGCACATAATTTTACATTGGGTGGTTTGGTTTCCTTCTTAGCCAATGCCCTCGAACAAAAGACATGGAACCCTCAAATACGAGACTTAGACACAAACATTCTGTGTGCATCTAGATGCATCTATATGCGTATATCTATATATACATAAATTTATCAAACACCATTTTTTCCTGAAAGGTACTGAAGAAACCCTAAACATCACCCGCCGCAAATCCCATCCAATGGAGAGTTTTCCGCACGGGCCGCTCATTTTAAAATCGTCAACATACACAACCAGGAGCACGTTATGTTCCGGCAAAGTGGTCTTCCAAAAAGGCTTAGTGCACCAAAAAATGTTCGGTGTGAGGTATATGGCCTACATGTCGAGTGCGGTCCAATAACCAGACCCAATGATTCGAGGGAACCCTGGGTTACCATACTGTGGATGGACAAAATCCTGCACCACCTAACAAAACTCTGCTTTCTGATGATTCCCCTGTAAATACCAACAAACGTTATGATCTCAACCATGGCTTCATTTCGCGGTGCGATAATCGCGGATTTCGCATCTCCATCCACAGGGCGGCACCCCACGCGCTCAGTGCGGCGCCTTCCCGGCGCACGTCGAAGCGCCGGAAGGCCGCCAGCAGCTCAGCCTTGCCGAAGCCCTGGCGCGCCAGCAGCGCCTCGAGGCGCCAGGCGCGCGAGGCGCGAGGCGCGAGGCGGCGCTGGTTTCAGGTTGGGACCCACGGGTCCCCGTGGACTCTGGAAAGCAAATTTGGCCGTCCGCACCCCCGGTGAACATCCCAAGCCCCAACATCCCAATCCCCTCCTAAAATGGACTAAAATGGGTGGTGCGGTGGTGAAACTATCCCAAAATGGTACCATTAGTTTTGAACCATGGCCAATTTGGGTGTTATCGCGGTAATCCAAGCTGCAGCTTGTGAAGATCTACGTATACATGTATACGTGTATGGCATGCCATGTTATGGTAACAAACGAAACGCAAGGCAACGTACTGCGATGCAATATACCGCAATTGTGAGGTGATGTGAGGTGACGTGAGGTGACATGATGTGTTGTGATGTATTTGATGTGATGTGATGCAATGCAACGCAATGCAATCCAATGCTGTGCAATGCAATGCAAAGCTCTGCTAAACAATCCTTGACAAACGAACTATATACAAACGTCACGAACCAAAACAGGATCCGTTCTCAATCTCAAATTGTGCATTGTCAAAACGTGTGGCCCTGCCAGCATGTGTTGGGATGCTTAGCAAGAATCACTGCAGAAATGCTACGCTTTGCGAAAAAGGAAAACACACAAAAGGGCTGGCACAAGTGCAAACTGCCAATATTTCAATGTTAAACACTTGAAGAGACAGAACGAAATGCACTTCTTGGCAACAAAGCCTGCCCAGGGACAAAACAAGTGCACGTTTGGAGGACTACAAGCTTCAACACCTCCACAGGGGCAAACAAAACAAACAACAAACACATTGGAGGAATCAGGGGTTCTGGTCCAAGGTCTTCCTGGGATTTGTGTGTTCTGCTTTTTGTGTCCACGTGCTCGTTTTGCGGCTTTAGTCTTCCAACACGTTCATTTCTGTGTGCACGTGTCGGGATTCAAGCTGTCAAATCGTGCATTGGGGTTGTCCGCTGTGCACGTTACGTTTTAGAGCTTCGGGGTGCTAAAAATCCTGCACAGGGACAAAAGCATGCACTTTGGAAGAATTCAAAGCTCCAAAACCTGCAAAGGGACACAAAGAAGATAGCTGCGTGCGCAAATTCCCTGCAAACTACACGGGCACACAATGTAACAGCCGCCAATGCAAGCAGTATGTGTCGGACCTATGCTTCGATTTCACCTGGCGTAGTCAGATATGCTCATTCCCCCCCCCCCGCTCACAAAAATACCTGCAGTGTAATATGTGTACATATAATTAGACATGATCTATATATATATATAATTATATATGTTAACACATGTATGCATATAAAGTGACATGTGCACGTGTCAATAAAGTGTGATTTGCTCCAAGTCAGGGAAAACCGGTGATATTGCAGATCAGCTACTGGCCAAGCAAACCCTCATCATCCCTGTGGACAGGCCACGACGCGCCCGGCAAAAGAAGCTCTTGAGGGAACAGTCCAAGAAAATCCAAGACCCCACCTAAGTAGGGAGCAAAATACACCCTGGCAAGCCGGATTTGAGGTTGAGTGCTGAAGATTCTCGAGAGGCTGGGCGCGGCAAGCTATTTGTGCTGTTACTGTGGGCAGGAAGAAATCACTGGTAGAGAGCTAGCAAGAAATCTTCGGCTCTGAGTCTCATTGCAAGCAAGGTAGCACTATTCCATGCCTCTTGGAATCAGTGGCAAGTTGGAACATCACGGGCCATTCCCTGAGGAGGGCACTGCCGTGAAGTCCGTACAGGAAATCCTCTCCTCAGCTGCGGTTTTGGATCTTTCGGCTCTGACTCAACTCCCTGCAAACTGTCACGGGCTAGCCTGGCAGGGTGTGCAGTGTGAAACCGAGATCAAAGCTCTGGCAATGCCGGAAGTCTGGCCAAAGACAAGAAGACCAGCGGCGCAACAAGGGCCATGTCCCATTTCCAACAAGAACTTCAGCAAGTTTCTGCACCCACACAATTGCCAGAAACCTGTGTCATCCTTGGCATTGCTCTGCCACATCCCCAGCATTGCAACTTGTGTTCTGCAAGCTGAAAATACCGGGTCCACACCTCGAAACCCCTTAGCATCCGCAGCATCGCTGGCAATTAGCCTCCAGCGTTCCCTGCAACATCCCCATTGCATGCTGCTGGCTAACCGAAAGCCCACGCTTTCGCTCCAAATCTGCGGGCACGTGCCAGCGTGAACGATCAAGGCCTTCTCGGCAAGAAACATGTGCGCGTTCCCGGCCGCTTGGAACCCGAGACTTGTGCTCACCACATCCCACGAGTTTTTTGGGCGCCGGCCATCCGGTGCAACCAAAAACATGGAACGCGACCCAAAAAAAACCGACGAGTTCCAACAGCCGGGACGGCCCACTAATGAGATCCCGTCTCAGTCGCAATCAAAACCCGGTTGTAGAATGGTCGACCCAGAACCATGCTTCAAGAACTAAGGCGGCGGATATCCGCAGCTATTTGTGGCAAGGGGATCGTCCCTTGCTAACCTTCATCTACCCAGGTTTTGATTGTGGCTCAACTGGTGACATCCAAACTCCAAAGCTGGATCGTCCCGTCCACCCCTTTCTTCTTCTCTGAGGCTCCCCGAAGAGCTCCAGCGGCAACAGCCGCGCCAAGTCCAGCGACGTGACTGCCCCGAACCTTACGCGCGCGCGAGCGCGCGCACGGGTGGAGAGGGGGGGGGGTTTTACGCCAAAGTGAGCGACCCAAACATGGCACGCCCAGTCCGTGAGGTGAATGAAGCATCGAAACATCGGCATTGGAAGCCAGCAACATGGCACGCTTCAACTTGTTTCTCTCGCATCAGCATTTGCCTGGACTCGGCAGGCCGGCTAGAGAACTGGCCATCGGTTGAGCATCGGTTTGGGTGTCGGTTTGGGCCCTGCAAGGCTCCAGCATAGGAAGGGCTCCAGGGCAAGCCGGGTTCCAGAGTTCCAGGCTTCCAGGTGGGTGTCTCCACATGAGAGAGACAAATAGGCCTTAAGCTTCATTCCGGCCAGTTCCGCCATAACGGGGCCAGCCTCTCAAGTCACAGAAGAGCGCAAAAAGGCGAATCAAAGCCATTGCAAGCAGCGAAGACCATTCAAGCCTTACGCCGTGTCAAGCGGCACAGCAAGCAAAACCGCTTTGATTTACTCAGCAAATTAAAGGCTCCAGGCAGGGTTCCTGGCAGAGTCCGGGAAGGGTTCCAGGCAGAGTTCCAGGCATAGAGTTCCAAGAAATCCAAGGGTTCCAGTGGCAGGGTTCCAGGTACGGTTGTAAGGTTCCAAACGCCCCCTGGCCTAGAGATAGAAACCCAACACTTGGTTGCTGTTGGGAACTTCCCGCCGACCCGGACGAATGCGGAAAGAAGTGACAGCCGGGTGAGAAAGCACACCGTTGCCTCAGCTCCAAGTCAAGATGAGACAAACTTTTGCCTCCAGAGTGACCTGACCAAAGCACTCCTTTACAGAGACATGGTACCAAGCGTCACACCCAATGTGCTACGCTGTTCCGAGCTCCGAATTGCAAATAGCTCGACGGCCACTACTTCAACGCTGCGGGAAAAAAAAATAAAAAATCTTGAGAGTTCCTTCTGCATCTACAGGCTGGCGACACCTGCAGCGTCAGGGAGAACATTCTTCACAAGAGAGCGGTTGTCTCCTCTTGTGTAGAGGGTGCGTTTCAGCACATGCACGTTCGCGTATGCTACTGCCTTGTGAGAATTTAAACTTGGCAGCATTGCAGGTCCGGAATGAGTATAGGTTGACTTCCCTGGCCTTTTGATCCACTTGCTACGAAAAGGAAAAGCATTTGACAATCCCATTCACAATGGCATGCAGCTGGCATCAAGTTCATCAAGGCTATCTAGCAAGTGGCGGTTGCAACAAGCCAACTCTTGTATCCACTAAGGTTGTGGTGGTCTGGTGCAGCTGAGGAAAGCGCTCAGGGCACTGGCGCATGCCGTTCCTGGGCGATCAATCCCGACCCTGAGGTTGTGCAATTGAAAGCTGGAGTCAGGGCGAATCAACGACCAAGACCTGAATTCGCTAAGAAAACTCTGCACTGCAGACTGCACACTGAGCCAAGAACAGGAGGTCATCTCTTGTAAGATAGCCATCCTGGAATCTACGCATCAGCACTGGCTGGCAATAAGTATGCCCGCTGTGATAGCTTTCCATCTGGTTCCCGGGCAGATTGCAAAGGTGTGCTCGCTTTACATGCATCATTCCAACGTGCGCGACGTCATGTTGTCGCAAGGAAATACTCGTGGGGCAAAATGTCTGGCCTGCTTCGCATCCAGCGCTGCGAACTGTTCTCGCAGCTTCTTCACCTCGTGCAAGAAGTGTCTAAGTTGCTCCGCAGACATTCTGCGATAGTTCGGGTGCCAAGGTTGGAAAGTATCTCTGCCCTATACAAATATTTGCTTTGAGATTCCTAAGTTGCACGCGTGCAAAACAAGCCAAAAAGCGGCAAGCACCAGCAAAAGCTGAGATTCAGAGACGTCTGCCGCGCTGATGCGGGATTCCGTTTAAGTATCCATCCAAAAACCAAATCAGCTAATAAACGTGCCTTTTAGCACGCTTGCTAAGCTGGGCTAAAAGGACAAAAAGAACAACCTAACATGACAAAAGCAAATGAAGTTCTATCGATTTCTTCCCATCCTATGCCATCGCTCCCATCGGGGCCGGCGCCCGCTCTTCATCCGCCTCCTTCGCCAGGAGCTTCAGGACCGCGCGCTTCAGCTTGCTGGAGGCCTGACGCAGGGTGAGAGGAGGGGGTGATGAACCCGCAAAATGCCCAGGGGGTTGGTTTAGGGTTTTAATTTTAGGAGCTGCAATTTAAACTGGTTTAAACACAATTTAAGGTAATTTATGCAATTAAAGCACAATTTAAAGGATTTATTAAACACAAATTTGGTTTAAAGATGATTAGATGGTTTAAGATTTAGAAATATGATTTAAGATAATTTAAGACAGTTTAATTAAAGATGGTTTAAGATGAGTTTAAAACTGGGTAACAAATGAATTTAAAGATTTTAAGCACAATAGATAATTTGAAACAATTGATGATTTTAGGAGTTTAAAGAAACTTAAGATGGTTTAAGATGGTTTAGAATTTAAGATGATTAAGATGATTTAAGATAATTTAAGATGGTTTAAGATTTAAGATTTAAGATAATTTTAAGATGGTAATTTAAGATGATTAGAAAGTTTAAGAATTAAAGGTTTAAGATTTAAAAGATGATTTTAAATTTAAAGGGTAGAAATTTAAATTTAAATGATTTAAAATGGTTTAGAATGCTTAGATAATTTAAGATAGTTTAAACTGCTTAAGTAACTAAAGATAATAACATTTTAAGATAATTAAGATGGTTTAGGATGGTTTAAGGTAATAAAGATGGTTTTAAATTTAAAGATGATTAAGATGGTTTAAGACAGACAGAAATTTAAGATGATTAAAATGGTTGGGTGATGATTGATAATTTAAAATGATTAAAAGATTTAAGGATAATTTAATTTAAAGATGATTTTAGGAAAAAGAAGTAATTTAAGGCAAATTTAAGATTTAAGATAATTTAGGATGGTTAAGAAGTTAAAACAGTAATTTAAGACTTTAAGATTTAAGATGGTTTAAAGATGGTAATTTAAGCTTAAGATGATTTAAGAAATTTGGATGGTTTAGATGAGATTTAAAAGTTAAAGATTTTAAACAGATGATTTAATTTTAAGATTTGTTAATTTAAAATAATTTAAGATAGTTTAAGATGATTTAATGTTAGAATAATAGTTTAAGGATAGTTTAAATTTAAAAAATTTAAAAGATGATTTAGATTTAAATTTTAAGATTTTTAAATTTTAAGTAATAATTAAGACACGTTTAAATAGTTTAGAATAATTTAGAACAAGATTTTAAATTTAAGATGGATTTAAAGATTAGAAAAGACGGTTTAAATTTAAGATAATTTAATTAGAAAATTTTAATTTAAAATTTAAGATGGTTTAAATTTATAATTTAAATTTAAATTAAAGGTGGTTAAACTTTAGTTTAAAGATGGCAAGGTAATTTAGGATAGTTTAGAAACTTAAGATGGTTTAAAGTTTTAGGATTTAGGTTAAGATGATTTAAAGTGGTTAATTAAGGTAATTTAAGATGGTTATTAGTAATTTAAAGGATTTAAACTGATTAAGGTAACTTAAGGATTTAAGAATTTAAGAAGGAGTTTAGGCAGAGGCTGAAACAGGTGATTTTTAGGTTGGGTTTAGCTTTTTTAGGGTTTAGGCTGGTTTAGGCTGGTTTAGGCTGGTTTAGGCTGGTTAGGGTGGTTTAGGGTGGTTTAGGGTCTAGAGTTTAGGGTTTTTGCTTTCTTGGGTGGCTCGTCGCTTTGAGTTGGTACCCTTTTTGGCGGTTTTGAAGGGACACGAAAAGGAAAACAATTGACTCGCTGTGCGGCTGGAAAGGTGCAGGCAGCTCCCGAAGCAATTGCGGAGTTGTGCCCCTTCGCATGTGGTTGAGCATGGCCGGCGCGAAGGGGTGCGGTGCTGGTCACTGGCGCATCTGGCACAAACCCGGCCTGGTACTTGCATAGACCATCGAAGACCGTCTTGTCCAAAACCTGCACAAATTGCCAGGCCAAGGTGGCTCGCGACGACTCTGCAGGCCAAAACTTGTGTGGATTGCTCTAAGGGATTTCGCCAGGATTTCTACTGCGTGCAGTCAACAGCATAGTCCCATCCCAGAATGGTGGTATTGACAACACGGGTTGTCGAGCTACAACCTCACAGAAAAAAGAGCGAGGTTGGTGCCAAATTCTCAACCTGAAGGCACTTGGTATAAGCGGCGGCCCTATATTCAGCCTACATCCGAATCCATTGCGCACAGCCTGCTCTCCGCTAGCTTGTTCTGCTTGCAACCTTGGTGTCAGATGCTGTCAACCGTCTTGAGCAGCACAACATATGAGTCACAAGTCCCCCGACCTTCCACCATGGTCAAAAAAAGCATAGCGCTTTGAAGCATCAAGGCTGACAAAGCATTATCTTTGCAAACCACATATCCTCCAGGACTCTAGGAGACATGCAATCCAAGCACCGAGGATATCAAGATAATCACAGAAACATGTCCTTGAAGCGGAAACGACCTCACATTCATCCAAATCCCTGCATGCAGTGTTGGGTGACATTGGCATCCAAAACTGCTTGCAACTGCTTGAACCCGTTCTTTAGGAGGGATTTGGCGAAGGCAAACTTGACTAGAGCAGCAGCACTAAGGTTATGAAGGAAAACACATTGGATGTCAATGCTGGAAGAGCTCAAAAAATATGGGCAGGGACAGCCCTCAGTCAAGGGAATTTGACTCTCAAATCGAACAAGCCAGCGAATTCATCTGTGACACTGCTTCCAAATTTCACAACAAACAACACCCCAAGCTACATTCCCAACCAGTCTCCTCACCAGAACTGCATGCCACAAGGGGGACATCTTCCAAAAGCTGAACGGAACACAGAGAAAAACGCTGCTAATGTCAAAAAACAAAAACAAAACTCAACCAGGGGGGTCACATCAGTGGGACAACTCACAGTGGAGAAACACCAACTTCTTAAAACAACTTAAATGAATAAAATATATATATATATATATTATAATTAGTATCATTATGATTATTCAAAAAAAAGCTCACGTCGAAGCCGACATTTGGGCTTCCCCGGCCAGGGATGCCGCAGCGCCTCCGCCGCGCCCAGGCGCCGCAGGGGGTCCTTGGCCTGGCGCTCGCTCCGGGAACCACCGGGCCTTTTGGCGTCCTTTTGGGTGTTGCCAAAAAAAAGAAAGGCCAGAAGGGTACCATCCAAAAAGGGGAACCATCCAAAAAAGGGGTACCCTCCAAAAAAGGGAACCAAAACATCCGAAAAGGGTAGCATCCTAAAAAGCCAGTAGTAATTAACTTAGCATGTCCATATTGGTTGGTTGAGTTTGGAGATTTCGCTCTGACCTCAACCAAAATTGGAAACACGCAAGGTCACCCGCGGAAAGAAACAGAACCACATCTCCCGACTGGCATTTCCCTCAAGGCGAGCAAACTCTTCGTGGCTGCCCCACAAGCCACGGCCAAGTTGAAGTGCAAGGATGTTTAGAGCAAATGTTTACTCCACGGCCGCTTGCTTGGTGGCTTTTGCCGCCCAGGTGGCACATGCTCGACTCAATTTGTCAATGTGGCTAATATGAACTTCGCCAACCAAAGATCCCAAAAAATGACCGTTCGTGAGCAAAGGTCTTGGGCAGGCAGTGAAAGGAAGAAATGTTCAGAATGGCCGAGCTTTACACTATAGCATCTTCACAACATTCACCGCATTCCCCTCCCCCCCAAGCAAAAAAAGACTTTGCTTGCCACATCTTGCCACATCTTGGCACATCGCCCCTCGGCTCCACGACGACTCTCTGCACGAGAAATCCCCCGCCATCAGGTGCATGGTCAGCTCGCGCGCCCCCGGAGGAGCTGCCGCAAAGTTGCGGTGTGGAGGCAACTGGGCGAAGGCTTCACGGGAAGTGAAATGGCCGTGGGTCAAAAATAGTTGGTAACCCGAACATGGAACCAAGGACCAGAACCCGTCCTCTGTTGCCTTAACTTTGACCCAAACCCAAATGTGTTTGAAGGTTGAGATGTCGAAGATAGACCCTCAAAGCTCTTAGGACTGAGTAGAAGAGCAGTTTTCAACACAAGTACACACTGCACAGCTGCTTCCAAGCACCGCCCTCGTGGGAAAATGTGCAAGCTGGTCCGGCATGCACATGTGTCCTGCGTCTGGCTGTCATTTCCCAGTGCGCTGTGTGGCTTCGAAACAAGTGCTGGCTGTGGATGGGCTGTGAGTGTGCACAAGGCACATGTGATTGACGCATTCTTGTACCGTCATGCTTTTCCCCAATGCTGGCCTGGGCATTCCTGATTAGCTGCATCACCTGCTGGTCACCTGCACACATGAGCCACGTGGTGCCTGTTTGCCTCCCGACAACCCGCCATAGTCCCAACCCGTTCTCCGGTTCGACACACTCTATCCTGCTTCTTGGTCTAAGCTTGATTCAGGATCTACCCTCACGAAAGTCCCAGGCAATCAATTGAATTAAGGAGCAAAATCCAATCGCAGAGAAACGCACATGGCCCTGCCCGATATTGACACGAGTTGATCCACCTCAGGCAAGCACTGGTTCCCCGGCCAGGCCAAAAGGGATGCTGGCCTGGCAGGCCCGGCTCTGGCTGGAAAGAGGGGCCCTTTGCCGCAATTTGGCTCTGAGGATGCTGAAACTGATGCAGAAAACCTGTTGGCATCCATTTCCTGCGGCAGAGGGGGATCTGATTAACCCGTACAAGCCTTGCACTCACCAAGCCAGAATGTACGGTACTGGCTGAAATCTGCGGACAATCACATAGCCTGTTGCTAAAGCATCAGGCAAGATCAAACTCCTTGTGTGGTGGTCCCTGACCCGGAAACCTCACAGTGATTGTCTTATTGCTAGAAGCACACAAAATGACTTGATGGCCCACTCTGCGACACACAAGTTGGCCTGTGATGAGGAGGTACAAGATGCAGCCGATTGCCCAAACATCCACCTGACGTGAACTGCCCCTCTCAGTCCATGGAATACGTCCCATAAGCACGCGTTGCGCCCAGCAAGCCCGACTCACTAGTAGCATTGGGCACCGTCAAGGTCCACACAGAGCGTCTGTGAGTCCCAATTCTGTGCATGTGGTCACTTCGCCGTGGGTCAAAAATAGGTACCCACAATGGAACCCTGGTAAATGGCACCAGAGACTAAAACCTGCGGTCCCCTGGTTTCTTCATTTTGACCCACGCCCACTTCTCTCCGAAACCGGAAGCCCAGGAAGATCTGCTTGCACGGGCTCCACGCCTTCTCGCCATAGGAGCCATCGCCCACGGCGGTCAGCATTTCCGGGGCCTGGACAACGCACGTGGATGTTGCCCGCTTGCACTCGGCCCAAAAAGATGCAAGGAAGCAACAGGTAGCTGTAAGAGGCAAAACTGCGGCAGGCCAATTCAGCTTGACAATCCCACCAAACAAGCTGAGAGCTAGCTGCATCACCTCTGCCTCAAGTGCAGTACATTGGGGGCTGCCAAATGCCTGTGGCACTAGATGCATTGCCTTACAAAGGCTCTTGCAACATCATGTAGGTGCCACTCATGTCGAAACAATCTCTATCCTGTTCTTCCTATTCTGCGCCTCCTCGGTAACCAAGAGAAGAGGGAGAGGGAGAAGCAAAACCAAAAGCATGAATCGTTTCCCACAAACCGCAAAGAGTCAGAACCTTCAGAAACGTCGCAACGAAAAACACAAATGGGTGTTCCTTCCAATAGGGGAACCCCTTTTCGGATGGATTTAAAGGGAAACCCAAAAAAGACGCCTACCACCTAAAGCGTCCCTCCAAAACTGGCGACCTCAACCGTCCTCATTCAGGGCCCTGCCATGAAGGCCAGCGTCCCAGCTCGCTCCATCGGCTGGCCACCAGCGGCAGTCCGCAAGCCTGGGGCTGAGCTGTGCATGTGGGCGAGGGGTCAAAAATGGTTGGTAACCCCAACATGGGTGGCCCTGAAGGACTACAACCTGAGGTCTGGTGGCTTAATTTTGACACACACCCATGGGGGATGGGACAGGAAAATGGAGCACTGGCAGGTCCAGGCCTTCTTCATGACATGGGGATTCTGTTTAGGGGATCCTCCTGCTTGCTCAACAATTAGGTTTAGACTAAGGCCTCATCTCAGACATTCCTCAATATTGATTCACGGCCCAGAAAGCATGGTCAGCAAGCCCACCCAAGCATGCGTGTCTAACCATTCTCGACCGCTACAGGTTTGCAGCTGGCATCTCATAAGCTTGGCATGACAGGAATCCACCCAGAGCGCGCTCTGCCTAATTGGCCCCGCATCGTGCCACAACTGAGAATGCCGCGCTGCAAGAAGTCGGCAAGGCCAAAGTCGATGACCTGAGTGGCTCGGCTGCCCTGTTTTGCAAGAGGTACGAAAGGCTTGAGAAGAAGCTAGTCCCATACGCGTCGGCAAGCGCCAAGCTGGCTCCAGTTGCACTGTACGTGAACTTCCCGTTGGCAAACGCTTTAGAGTCAGAATCAAAGAAAGCGCGCCGGCACCTGTTTCTACTTTGGATTGTCCCTTCGCAACATGACTCTGCCCATTGTCACATGAAAGTATAGATACTACCAGTATAGACCTTAACATGGCCTTGGGTATGGTCTGTTTTGACCGGACTTCTTATGTTTTGATCGTCAAAGACGTGGTTTGAGGGGTGGAGAGCTCAGGGTTCCTGAGGTGCGAGCCTTCACTGCGCTGTTCGGCGCCTGACTCACCGGCTGACCGGCCAACTGCTGCCCCAAAAGGGCGCTCGGTTGCCAAGCAACCGAAAGCTCGTTGCAGAATGTTTGCAATTTGCAGCTCTCCAGGTAAGTTCTGAAGAGCTCGTGAGTTAGTAGTATTTTAAGATTCTGAAATTGATGGCGAGCGCCTTGCTGGCGTAGAGGACGTTGTCCGGCTTCAAGTCCTGCACCAAAACGAAGCTCAGGAGACACCAAAGTCCCTGTGGTTTATGCTTGACAAGAGCCAATTGAAAACACGGGCGTGCAAGAAAGGCCCCCGATAGACGTCTGATGTTCACTGCGTCAGCGATGTGGAAAAAACAAGCAAGCACAAGAGAAAGCTAAATGCGAACAATAATTAAGAAGAGAGAAAGCGAATTGAGAGCAAAGGGAAAGAGATAAAGAGAGAAAAAAGTGCAAGAGAGAGAGAGAGAGAGAGAGAGGAGAGAAAAACACACGAAATAGAAAAAGGAAGTCAGAAACAGCGCAAATTGTGGAAATGCCTCCAATGTCAATTTTCTGGCAGTGTCCCGATGAATGACGCCGCGACCGTGGCAATACGCCTCAGCCGTCTCCGGCACTTCCCGAACCACAGCTATCACTTGCCTTGCCTGTGGCAGAACGAGTAAGATTGTAGCGTGCGTTGACGCAGCTAGTGAATCTCAGGAATGCTAATTGTGCCAGCCATGCGTATGATTCGCACGAATGGCCAAGACCACGACTAATCACACCGGGAAGACTGTGCAAAGGTCGTGCCTCCCGGTCAAGCGGTGCCAATCATCCAAAAAGGACTCGAGTCCGCTACAAAACCCAGCAAAAGGCTGTCTACCACAGTGTCCCGCACTCTCCTTGCCAAATTGCTTTGAAGTTCTTCAGCCATAAACCTCAAAGCCAGTGACCTAACAAGCCGGAATCCAACAGTCTTGATGGGCCATGGAGCACGCCTATGGAACTTCATTACCTCCAGGAACCTCATTCAAGCCTTTGGCCGCACACACCAACTATTCTGATTCTCGCGTTGCATTTCAGCATATTCAATCCTGTAATCAAAATAGTGTGTATTTCTGCAAGAAGGCGGCGAGCTTCCCGAATCCCATGCTTCCCTTGGCCAATTGCTTGGGCTACCTGCTGTCGCGCTGAGGACCTGCCGAATCGCCACAGCTGCCTGGCGGTGTGTGTGCTGGGAGAGGGAAGCCTAGAAGTCACTGGTGCTAGTGAGGTCGCCTTCTTCAGCCAAAGCATGATCAGGAAGATTGGTTGGAGACAGATCAGGCGGCTTTTTAGGCTGTGATGTCTGTTCACAGAAGCAACATGCCCGGTGCGTCATCAATTATATATATTTACACATATGTGTGCGTGTGTGTGCGTGTGTGTCTGTGTATAACGCAAGGGCAGAACACTGAACAGAACCTCTCTCGACAAGGCTTGGCCAAGCACAATGTTTGGCCCAAGGAGTGTGTGGCCCTATGTGCATAGAAGAGCCATGGCACTGCGACAAGCTCCGGCCACCATGCATGCACGGCCTAAGTGAACGCAAGACTGTATGATAGTCTGCTTGGCAAACTTTGCCCCCACACTTTCTCAACAGAACTATCTGTGGCGTTGACACGAGTCCCCAATCCATGTGTTTCAGAACTGGTGGGCGTGCTTTTTTGAGTTGAAAGACCATTGTCTTATGTCCTTTTGTTTCTTCTTCTCTTGCTAGATGCTCATCTCAGACTGGCATCCCCAGCAAAACCATCGCAAGACATGGCCATGAGTCAAAATCCCGTACCCCCAGTGAACATCCCAATCCCCCCCCCCCCCCCCAAAATAGACTAAAACAGGTGTTGCACCTACCCCAAAATGGGATCCCATTGGTGTTGTCAACCAAAGCCATTTTGCTTCCTAAGCCCTGACACTCCCGGCCCTCCGAGCCCCTCCGAGCCCCTCCGAGCCCCTCCGAGCCCCTGAGCCCCTGGCCGCACGCTCGGAGCCATGGCGGGCGAAGCCCTGCAGCAGGGTGCCGCCCTCGCAGAGCTCCTGAAAGAAGCTCCCCCCGTTGCACCGAAGAGCTGGAGACGCTGGGTGCCGTTTTTGGACCAAGGTAGACTTAAACAAATTCAGGGGGTTGCCTGGGGAAATCAACCGCCGAGTTTAAGCCCACTTTGGAAGAGTCAAAAGATGGAACCGCGGCTGGAGATGTGTTGGCTTTGACTCTGCAAATTCGAAGACACCAAAAAAACAATGTGACAGGAGAAGCAAAACTCCGTGCAGCTTGGCCCCTGATTTGCGGCGAGGCGCCGAGATCAGGAAGAGGCAAGTGCCATCCACAAAGCACCTCACAATGCTGCTCTCAGTTTCCCGACAGCGCGGGGCCGCAACTCGCAACCGGCCTCAATCTGTTGCTTTGAGGGCGATTGCGCCACCACAACACATATGTTGCAGAGCAATAAGCACCCGGACTAGACCCTTTGCCACAGCTCTCCTCATCGGCTGAGTTTGGCTGGCAGCCACAACATCTCGACATCGCAATCGACATCGCAAGCTTACCTTCACTTCTCCAGGAGCGCCCAAGTTGGCTAGACACGGGGAGAAGGTTGAGTTGACACGCCCAAGCAAGTGTCTACTGATTCGTTGCCCGAAACGAACACGTGCCTTGCATTCAAGTGACGAAGTTCTTCCGATGGTTGCGAAAAAGATGCCGCATATTAGCTGGATGCCTTGTTGTTTCACTTAATGACAACGGAAACCCGAATATTCTCTGTGAGATTGATCGTCTCTTGAACCATCTTGGTTCTTCCAACCCTTCTTGTATCATCTTTCTAGGGGTTGATTCCCCATTCTTTTCAGCCATCGTTCTTCTCAAAAACCAGCCATTTCCCCAGGGCTTTTGGTGGTTGTCTAGAAAGAAGGATCCCTGGAAAGAATGGAATTGGAAGTGACCCCTAGAAATATGAACTTCGCCAAGCAAAGATCCAACAAAATGACCGTTCGTGTGCAAAGGTCTTGGGCTAGTAGTGAAAGGAAATGTTCAGAATGGCCGAGCTTCTTGAATCACGACACCTCCCTCGCCTCCCCCCGTTTTTCTTTCGCCGGGAAGCTCGGAGAGGCGCATAATGTTGCCGTGGTCCAGGCGCTTCAGGAGCTGCACTTCGGTGTCCACCAGCCGGCGATCCTCGCGGCTTTGGATCGCATCGACGTGTTCGGTGCGGATCACGTGGGTCTGGGCGGTCCGGTTTCAGATCCCCTGCTAAAAGTGAGTGGGTTAATTGGAAGTCCCCACTAAACACGTACCAAAACATGAAGCTAAGGGGCTGGCTCAAAAACATGTACCAAAATGGCACCTTGGCAAATGGAACCAAAGACCAACACCTGAATTTTAATGAGGGACCCTTTGGTGGACATCAAATTTCAGCCAGGATTTATGTCCGCCAACCATTTGGGAGGGGGTCCGAAATTAAGATTCATTGCCACATGATTTCCCATCTCTGTGATTTCCAAAAAAACTGCTTGCAAGTCACGGTCCTCCATAGGGCGGAGTTTTGGGGAGGAGTTTCGGCCTTTGCAACGTCGATCTATGGCAAAGTCGGGGAGTTGCTTTCAAGGTCTTCGTGGCTTCGTTTCGGACCAGTTTTGTAATGCCTTTTGCTGTACAGACTCACCACCTTGTTACGAACCTACATAGGTGCTTGCCTCGAACCTGTAGGGAATGCAGTCGCCTGGCACCAAGCCACAAATCGCTCATCTGTCCGTCTCGCTCTGGATCGCCACACGCTTGCCTCATTTGTCTGCCACCTCAAAACCCGCCACCTACAAGCCACTCTCTGCACGAGCTAGGCTCGCAGCCCATGTCTCTTAATTTTTCCGGCCAAAGTCCAAAGCCACTCTTCAAATTGCAAAGCCCTCCTTGCCCAACTTGCCCAACTTGCAGGCAGGCTGCAAGCGCGCTTCTGGCCCGTGAGCTTCTGCGTTACGACGCAGACCTGCCCGAAGCTGCCCTCGCCCAGCTTTCCGCCCTCGAAGACGTACTCCTGGGAGACTTTTTTGTCGCTCTGGTGGCCCAATCAATGCCATCCCTGTCCCAGGCATGATGAATCCCTGTCCCATGACGTCTTCCACTCCCTCCTCGCTCACCGTGCTGCCCTGCCGCATAGGGCACATCACCGCGCTCGCAAGCTCCACGCCCTTGCTTCTACTTGGCCGCGCAAAGGCCGCGTCGGGCGCGAAGGGCTGCGGCCGCTGAGGCAGCTGCGTTTGCTGAGGCAGCTGCGGTTGCTGAGGTAGTTGTGGCTGATAGCCCTGGGAATAGCCCTGGATCTCCTAAGCAAAACACCCAGAACACATCGCCAACCGCCTTTGTAAACTGTGGGTTGCAATTCTGGGCTCCATCCAGTCATCTCAGAATACAAGTCAAGGGCCTTTTCACGCCGATCAAAGAAAGCCATGCAGCCCTCAGACTTCTTTTGAGGCAGCTACAGCGGAGTTGCTTGCCTAGCTGGCAGCCACCAGATGTTGCAAGCGCTTCAAACCAATGTAAAGATAGTGGGATCTGATGCAAGCAAAAGCTGAGGGTCTAGGCAAGAAAGTTGAGGCAAAAGGTGCAGACATGTGCAGACATCGCTCCGCACCCACACTAACAAGCTTTGTACTTGAAACATGGGCTTGGGAATGTGTGTGTTTGACCATACCAATGCTGGGAGTGGTTTTACAGGAACACCAAGAGGAAAGCCACCATTTCGGTAGGTCCCCTTCGACACCTGCCACGTCCATCCGTGCCGACAATTCTCTCTGACTGAGCCCATCCTCCACTTTCTTCTCCCGGCGTTCCGGCTGCGATGACCCCACCTTGCGCGCGTGATGCGCCAGGAATTGCTTGGCGGCATCCTGACGGGTGATTTTTTATTTTTCTTTCGGGGCAAAGCTTCCAGATGGCTCGGCTCCCTCTGTCAATGTGGGCAAACTAGTAACTCCCCCCTGGTTTTGTGGAAAATGCCCCACACGGACTTTTTGCTGGATACTTTGGACCAAACCTCGGAAGGTTGCTGGCTCCATGATTGGCCGATGTGACTGCCAAACAGTTCAGTACGGGCAAATTGGAGTGGCAAAAGAAACCAAGTTGGAAACATTACTCGCCCAAAATACCGGCGGTGCTAAGGATTGGCAATAAACATGCCCCCCCGCACAACGGGGTGATGGTGATACTCAGTCCTCCATGGCGCGCAAGGACATTCCGCCACCACATTTTGGAGAGTAGCCTTGGGAAGGGCCCGAGTTGATGGGCTCGACACAAGAACTTGGCTGATTGACTTGGGGCCTCCACACATGCCGTAGGAGGAATGAAATCATCAACCAGGGGTGGCTGATTCGGGGTTCCAGCTTCTGATGGGCCACACGACTTCGAGAAATGGGCTGCGCTGATGTGCCAGAAACCCTCACTACTCCACTACATAACTGCTTCTACGAACGTGAGGATGCAGCCAACTATCCTGACTGACACTCGGCGAAGAAGGAGTGTACGAGTCGAGCTAGGAAAGCTCCAACCAGGTAGAACATGGCATAAGCGACTGTCCTTGCCCACCTGGCCCACCAAACCAAATTCCGACTGCCGCAGGCATGTGCTGCATGATCTGTAGGCGGGCGGCTGTCAAAGACCCGCTGGAACCACGCGTCGTCCGGCTGTGGCAGCGACGTCTTGGCAAGCACACGGCGGAGCGCAGCACGGAACTGGACCAGGTCCAGGCGGCTGCCAGCAGCCTCCTCTCGTTGTCATGTCAGTCTTATCTGATCAGCCAACACGCAAAGGGCTCGATGCACTCAACCATGCTGTTGAAAAAAACATGACACAACCACTCAGCCACCATGAGAAGCCCTTCGGATGCTGGTGTCCAGCCTTCACATGGCAACTGCTAGACTGGAGTGCATCATGGGCATGGGCAATTAATATGAGTCCCCACGTCACTCCCGAATTGATCGTGGCTCGTCTTTCAGCAATGCACACGCAAAGTGGGCGGTTTGTGGAGGGCACACTTTGCGGGTTGATTGAAGGGAAACAAAATGCAGCACTCATTATGCTGTTTTCCCCCTTTTTTCCCTTGTTGTTGCTTGTTTTTTTTCTCGCGGGGTTCTCCGCTTTGAGACAAACCCAAGTCGCGAGCCTAGCTGCGAGCGGCCTACAGCCTCATTACAGCCTTCTCTCTCCTGAGCGAAGGACTCCTTGCAGAGTGCTTCGATGGGGTTGGCAGCAGCCATGCTCAAGGCTGGACATGTGCTGGTGCAATGTTCCTCGAGGAAATGAAGCAGGAAAGAAGGGTGGTCGGTAGTTCTCCTGCCTGCACGCAGTGCCCTTTTCAATGGCCCTTGTCGTGCTTGTGTTTCACGTGCAAACTATGGGGTCTGGATTCCGCAAGTGTCTCAAAATCATGCACACTATGCATGGCCACCTACAACCGAAACGTCGCAGCGAGGGGACAGGCAGAGCGAGTCCACTCCACTCCAAAAATCCTAACTCATCATACCATATCTTGTCTCCCAGTGTGAAAAGTTGGGCCTGCATCAAAAGTCAGAAGTGTTGCGCAGGCCGCTTGTCCCAAAGTTACCAGACTTCAGCACACGAGATCTTACGCATCACACGAGACCTTCACCATGAGCCAGCCGAATCTGTGCTCTGGGCGGACCTTGGGGTTGCCCTGGTCAAACCTGGCACTGCTGGATTGGTGAAAGGTCAAGCTGCGAGCGCTGGAAAATATAAGGCAAGCCAAACACGAGCTTTGCTGACAGCACAAAGCACCCCAAAGCCTCAGAGAATGCTTCCCCGGTTGCAAGTGTATTTGCACACACCCAACGGTCCGATGTAGCGACTTTGGCTGCCCTCAGCTCTAGCCACATTAAGTGGCCATCCAAAAGATCCACGCCTCCGGCAGATCCACCAGAAAGCTTTTTGAGATTCTGTGGCAGGTGCCAAGAAAACTGCCCCAAGTCCGGAGGAAACATGATGACTCCATGGAGCAGCTGGCTGTCTCCCTAAGCCTGGAGAAAAAGAATCTCGTGGCAGCGCTTCCTTGTCCTTCAGCCATGCAGTGAAAGGCTGCCGTCGTTCAACCATGTGTCAAATAGGTGGCAAACTTGGTGCCTTCTTTTTGGTTCCCCCAGCCAAGGCGTGTACCTGACGCCCGAAAAAAAAAATGTGTACGAAGCCGGGAGCCCGGGCATGGAGTAGACCTCGGTGGGCGGGAAGTCGATGAGTCCGCTGACCTGTAAGGCAAGAAAGCACGAGATATGGCCATGGGTCAAAATCTAAATCGTACCCCCAGTGAACATCCGATTCAATCCCCACTACAATAAGTTCTAAAATGGGTGGTGAATTCACCTACCCCAAAATGGGATCCCATTGGCTTTGACCCGCGGCCATATGAAAAACATGCCGGCGTGTCTTTTGGGGAACCCCACTTTGGTGTTTTGGAGGACGCCAAGAGGAAACCAGCCGTTTTGGGGTAAACCATGGTGCTCCGTGAGCACCAAAAAACCGGCTCACACCGTTTGAATCAGGATCTTCGCGCACTGATCCAGCAGATCCGACATCTAATTAGTGAGTTTGTTCGGCTGTGTGTTTGTGGCAGTCGCCCTTGATCAGGCAGTTCACATGAATCACAATCAAAACCCGGTAAGTGAAGGTTAATAAGGGACAATCCCAGCCATAAATAGCTGCGGCCGCACCGTCCAACCGCCGTCCCTTTATCCTCACAAAACGTACCGACAGAGATGCGTTGGTTCGCATGCCACCTTCCTGGCCTTGGCAGGCAGGCGCGTTGGCAAGGGGCCGCCCAGCTGCTCCCTCTTCTCCAGCATGTACTTGACCTGCCACCAAACGATACAGAGGTGTGTCTCCCCGTGTCCCTTGCGTGTTTCTGAAGGGCACATCCAAGTCTGCGTGCTTCCCCGCCCCAAAGAACCTTGTTGAAACTAGTATTGATAGCTTTCTTCTCCCTGGACCAGGGCATCAGAGCATGACAACGACTCGGATGGTGCCGGCTCCACCAAAGTCGGGCTACCGGACCACGCCTCCGGGGAGTCTGGGCCAGGCTTGCGGAAGAACTCGCCACCCTGCCGGAACGTGCTTGGACCGCGTTGGGATGGGCTGAGAGGTCTGAAGGAGATGGGTGTGGGTCAAAAAATGGTACCCAACATGGAGCCCTGGTCAATGGAAACATGGACCAAAACCTGCGGTCCCTGGTGGTTTAATTTTGACCCATACCCAGATAATCTCCTTGCGCCCAGGGAAGAACCGCATGATGTCGGATTCTACTCCTATGAATTTGGAGCGAGAAGCGGTGTTTGCTTGGTTGCCAAACAGCCCAATGGCTGCTCTGTGCAGCACCGGATCCGGAGACCAAACAAAGGAATTCCTGATTCAGCAAAAGGGCCTCGGTTTTATGAGGCATCCAGCCTGAGCTCATCCAACATCTGCATCCATGAGAGTCATTATTGCATCATTCTCACCGTGCTGACCATGTGCACGACTGAAAGAAGCGATACATCGTGGTGAAGGAAGTTGTGGGGGAACAAAGCCCCTCGCAATGGGCCGCGCTATGTTCCCTACAAAAGCAGCAAGGAAGAAGAGAAGTGGCAAAAGAGCCCTTTGCATGGAGTGCGACTAACTGGTACCCTAAAAACATTTCGGCACGCACACCCATTGACCCGAAAGCATCCTTGGACGGCACCTGAAGCTCTTCCTTCGCGCCTCCGGATTCTTGATCTGCTCGTCGGTCAGAGGAATCTCCAGGACGTCGCGAAAGCTCAGCATCTGCGGAGCAATGAAAATGGCTCGTGTGAATGCATGGAGGTTTGAGCGCACATGTCGTAACGTCTCGTTGGTGTGCGGTGAGGGCACGGTGGTGTGAGGGGAGATACGGCAAACGTTGAAACCTTACTGAGATGCTTTGAAGACCACTCCATTGTCTGCAAATCGTAAGCCGCCCAACCCAGCATCCAATTGAACTAATGGCAGGAGAGGTTTGGGACTTCTTGGAAGCTCTGCAAAACATGCTGCGCCGCATTGCAGCATGCCATGACCAACTCCCCATGCTCCCAAATCAATGCTGTCAATGCTGTGCTTGCCAGCCTCCTCCACCTTCAGGCTTTTCTGCTGATGGACCTGACATGCCAACTGTCGTGCGGTTGACCGTGAGAACATCTCTCCATGTCGAGGCGCTGTGTTCCTGCCCTGGAAGGTCGCCAGCGAGAAGCCCTTGAGCGTCTTCGCCTTGGACGGTCCAGCCCTGTTTCAGTCTTGGGGCACATTGGGCCCATGTAATCGGAGGATTGATTTCGTTGCGATGCCTGCAATTTCGAGACCTGAGAAGTGTAAAACACACAATTTTCCGTACCTACGGCTATGCCAAAATAGAGCATGGATACTCACAGTTTCGATGATAAGGTGTTTTCATTTGCCTCCTGCCTTCATCCTGGCAATATCATGCCACATGCCCAAAGAAAAACATTTGGCATCCAGCTCCAAAATGCAGATGCATCCACACTAAGGACATCTCTCGGCGGCAAGTGTATGTTGAATCTCCTCCAGAGAGGGGAGGCATCCATTAAATCTCGGACGTAAGCATGTATACTTGGATAAAGGACAACTTCTTTGGGGGCGCTTCCTTTCGGTTCTCAAAGGGTACAAAATACATGAGAAAAATACATAAAAAAAAAGGGTACAAAAAGTCGCTGCTGT